TCCCCCCCTAACTTTCTGAGATGGCAAAAAAGGACAACTTACCGTAATTTATTTTTATAAACTTTTAAATTTTTTATATTTATTTTTATTTATTTATTCACTTTTATTAAATATTTTTATTTTTTACTTTTAGGGGCTTTGAGGAAATATTAGGGTTCTAAACAGACCCTGATATTTCCATTTTAAAATAGAAAAAGAGATTGAGAACACAGAGTCCTCTTTTTCTGCAGCCCCTGTTATCAATGAACAGGAATCCTCTATACTGAGTGTTCCTGTTCATTTATAACATGAGGACAGAGTATGTTTACTATAGCCACAATCATGAATGAACAGGAGGTGATGTAAATCACTTCCCATTCATTCATAATTGAGTATATAGTTAACATGCTATGACCTCAATTATTTCCAAACACTCAGCAATCACTGATGCATTTCCCTGAGATCTCCTGAGATTTCCCAGCAATGCTCTGCTGATGACATGGCAATCCCAGCGTGCATTGCTTCGACAAACTGTAATTTTGCACTTTCAAAGCAGGAAGTGAATGGAGAGAGAGAGGGAGAGAGAGCGAGAGAGAGAGAGCCACGTAGAGAAAAAGCAAGGAGGAATTGTCTCAGTTGGAGAAAAAAGATTTATACATAGTGCAGGAAATGTATTCCTATAGCAGATATTAAAACACTAAAGCCAATTTTTTTTCTTTGTGTTTTGGGATAGAGTAGGGAAGGGTTACAACCCCTGTCAGCTTTTTTTTGCCCTCTTTGTCCCATTGGGGAGATTTCCCTTCTGTTTTGTCCAATAGCCACAACGGTAAGTGAGAGAAAATCCCTTCAAGTGAGGAAAATCTTTGGTGGTTAAAAGGTGTCCCTACCTTGTATGTCACCAATTAGAGGAAGGGGTAACTGCTGATAGTGCTGTCTGGAGGGTAGGTTCCTGTCAGCGGCTCTCTATCCCACCCAGCTCACATCACTGGTTGGCAGGAGCTTGGCAGGACACCAGCCAGAGAGTTCCGTACTGCTCCCTGGCAACCATTGACATCTGTGAGATGAGTGGGAAGCCGGACAGAGTGGACAGAGCATCACAGGTTGCTAAAAAGCTCTTAGCAACCTGGGACGTTGTGGCCACACCCCTAATGAGATGATGTCTGAGTCGACCGCTTCAGGCTGCCTCATTATAGGGACTGCCTGTCCCACTGGAAGATTTCCCATCTATTTCTGTTCTGATGACAACCCAAAATTGGCCATTTTCTTTCACTTTCAGTGATGATGGGCACCAAGAGAAATATAGAGGAATAATCTCCATAACATGGATTCAGACAGCGATATAAAAAAACTGCCAGGTGTTCTAATCCCTCACTATACTCCATCCAAAACTAAAGCAAAACGCTTTGGCTTCAGGTTTGCTTTAAGTACTTGTCTACGTTTTCCAACCTGCACAAGAAAACATGTTATTTATTTTCCCAGTTCTCATGCCAATTCAGCTTTTCCATGTGAACTTCCTCTGATTACTTACAGTTGCCATGAGGGTTTGAGACTCTCGCTGAACCGAGGCGGCGCTGACCACGACGATGAGAAGGAGCAATGCACAGATACTGCTCCCGTATAGGATCACTGGAGAGAGAAGAGGAATTTAAATAGGGAAGGTTTTGCTGATAAACGACCTGCTTCCCTATTTATAATGGTCTGGCCCTCTAGCAACTTCAGTGCGAAGTTATAGCTAATTTCCCTACAAACGTCAGGTGGTCATAATAAACTGGCAACTCAGTGTATATATATATAAAGTTTAAAACATCAGTTTACAAATAAAACAACTCAAAACCATTATTGTTTTCCAGAAGTTCTGCCCACCCAGATAGTAGATATGTACAGTACATGTATAATAGAGACTCCCAAGCACATAGAACAGTGCACATGTCTGCAGAAATTGTAGCTCTATTATCAGTGCTGATGTGAACTGGGCTGGTAGATTGTGTGTTAATCTCTTTATGTTGCCCTTCCTGTCTGGGCATCATCTGAAACGGCAATCTATAGAGATAACCCGTTGTCCTCCTCCCAGTGTCATCTCACACTCTACAAAACTTTCATTGTACTCATGTTATAGAACGCTCACACGAGGTTACTTTTACACTTTTGTACCAAGTTCTATTACTGCTCAGCATATTTACTACATGGAAATGGAGTTTATCTTTTCTTCTCTTACAACACAAGATGAGCCAAAATTTTCCATCCTGGTTGCCAGACTTTTCATGTGACTTTATCACTGTTTAATGTTAGCACCAAAAATCTATATTTCAAGTTTTGTTAGCTGCTGGATAGTGGAAACAGCTACGGCGAGGTCCCCAGCAGGCTGCCTGAGATCCCCAGCAAGCGTGGGACCTCTGGCAGCCAAACTTGTTTAAAAATGTAAAAGGCTGGTATCGGCCTTTAGTATCAAGGCATTTTCACGAGTAGAAGTACTCATGAAAATGCTCAGTATCTGCACTACTACTAGTACCGGTATCGGGACATCCCTACAAGTATTATTACATTTTTAAACTTTTTTTCCAATAATGAATCCAGATCAAACAAATATACATTGCTCAGCAATGAATTTCTTTACATTTTTTCACAGTCATCCTGTTGCCAAACAGCTCCAACAGTCTCAGCTCAGCTTTCCTGAACTTCCTGTCCAGTAAAAGATCACAAGGGACAGAGCAGCCTCTAGCAGTTCTAAATCTACTACCTTGAAGAAGGGAAGAGGGGGGAACAGAGAAGGGGATTGCATTGTCTTGCTGTGTCTGCATTTTGTGGAGACACACACAGCTCACTAACACTCCATAGGACCCTACAAGGAAAAGTACCCACCCTAAAGCTGGCCATACACTTGGTTGTAAGGTAAATAAAAGCTTGTACAATCTGCCCATCTTGGACAGGCAGATCAAACTTGCGATCATCGCAAGCCCGCCCTGCTGAGGGGAGGGCTTCCGATGACTGCAATGCTGAGAGGGCAGTGTGCGCTTGCGCACACCGGCCCGTGCGGCATTTGTCTTACAAGCACGCCACAAACCCACCGAAAATCGTACGATTTTCAGCTGGTTTTCCAACGTGCTCGTAAGACAAAAGACGTGCGACCGTACAGTAAAAACATTCGCAAGCCTTCTATACACCTGACGATTATCGTACGATCGCCGGATTTCCCGTGATTATCCTACGATAATTGGCAGGTGTATGGCCACCTTAAAACAGCATATCGGGGCCACTGCTCAGAGGACCAGCTAGTTCTGCAGGACACTAAAACTTTTGAACAAGCAGCAGCATCCATTGTAGGTGATTTATTCAGCATTTAAAATAAAAAATAAACCTTTTTACTTTAATATTACTTTCAGTTTGCTGTAATTAAATACAAAGGAGGTCAGCACCTAACAATACAAGGAACTTGATTTTGTGTGTGCTACTCTTTGTCAGCTTGTAGTCCAATTGCCAGTCAATGAGTACTAAACTTAAAAAAAAAAACTAAAAAAAAAACACACGCATTACACTACGTATAAAGTAGACACGCAATCCTACTTACTGGCATTGTGCAGGTCTCTGACAGGACTTTCAGATGGAGACGCCCCTATGAGTATGGTGAAGTGAGGACTCAGGCTGGTTACTACTGTCACAAAGCAACATGCCACCGCCAGGAGCTTTAGAAAAAAAACACCAGTCATGGTTCAGATACAAATAATTATTTTACATCTTTCAAGTACAATTGTGTAATGTGCATTGTGTGATCTTGTGTAAGAAATGACATATACAACATTTAGCATTTCTGTTCTATAAACTTGTAAAACAATGCAAGTGAACACTATGGGGCCACAAACCTAATCTGGAAGTTTTTATTTTAACCAGACTACTTATTGAAGAGGAACTTCACTCCCACTTTACATTTCCCCCCTCTTACCCGTGACGCTGGGTTGGAATAAAAAAAATACTCACAGACTCAGAGAATCCAGCATTGTCCTATGCAATCTGCCACTCTGCCAGAGGGCGTGGCTACGCTGCAATTCCCTTCAATGGACCGCCACGCCCCCTCCTGCCCCACAACATAGAGAGCCGGCCGCAATGCGATGCAGTGCGTTCCGGACAGAATTGGGCCAAAACGCACTGTGTCTGGTGTGAACGAGGACGGGGGGCTACTTTTGTTCCCCATGGTCCATGTGTGTGTTATAAGGTAGTCACCACTCCAAGCTCACTCCCGTGATGGACTACAATCTCGTATTTAGTTTACTCATTTGTATTGAGATTGTTGTCCATCATGGGCGTGAACTTGGAGCGGTGGCTACTTTACAACACACACACAAGGACCATGGAGAATAAAAGTAGCCCCCCTCCAGAAGGAAGGACAGTGTCGGCATTAATTCAGAGATGATTTTAGGATCTACAGCCGTGTGATACACAAATAAGATACATTTTTGTTAATAGTTAAGGTACTTGAATGTATTTTTAAGATTTAACTCCTGAGTTTAGTGTCACTTTTAGACATGTCTGATTGACTAATGTAAATATGAATTATTGCTGTCAAACAACACTGGGGGGTATAAATACATGTTTTACACAACATTCACCCATGAGTCATACACATTTTCCACTGAATCCAAAACTTGTTCAACTGAAAAGTGTGTGAATCTAGGAGGAAAGTTGTGTGATTCTTCTATGAAAATACT